AACTCCACCTTGATTATTATTACTACCGTTGTAATGAATTTGGTCAATACTAATGCTTCTAACAATTCCATTATTTGTTGCTTGATTTAATTGGTCTATGCTCATACTTCTTGGAAGTGATAACTCTCCAGGAAATGGATGAGTAATGCCATGATGATATTGGCTGATAAGAGAATCTTCGGACATGGATGGTGAATTTTGGATGGAAGAGTTTATCCGTTCATTAGTGTATTCAGGTGTATTAATTGATGAAATGATACTAGAAGATGTAAATCCAACTACCGATTCATCAAAGGAAGGATGAGTGTGATGATGAAAATGTGATGATGGCATATCCAATAAGTGGATGTTATTTCGTAAAAACCTATTCTTTCGCATAGAAAGCTCCTTCTGATGCTTTACGGATGATGCAATAACTTGGATATTTCGTGTGCTTAGAGAGGGTGATGAAGGAGAAGGTACATGAGATGAATTCATACTGTGTTCACTCTTTTGAATGAGTTGCTTGACATTGGCGTGAAGATGATTTAATTGCCAAACAAGTCTCTCCGTTTTTCTAAACAACGAATAGTCATGAGAATGAAGAAAGACATGTCTAGCTGCTCCTGCGTACAGAGAATTATGTATGGGCCTACTACTTGAATTATTATTGCCAGTGTTGGATCTCATGTTGTAATGATATGAAGTATCTACAATGCCATCGTTGTTCAATGTACCATCGTTGGAATTTAAATTAGAAGTAATATTATCATTTGTGGAAATAATGAATTCGTGTTGCTGATGCGTGGGTGAAGTCGGAGATTGTTGTGCCCACATTTGGGATTATTAAATAATTTCTAAATAATTATATGTTGAAGTTCTTGAATATATGACCTAATATTAGCGTTCAGATAAATAACATGATCGGAATGATTGAGAGTGATGATTGACGAATGAACACGTCGATGAAACAATTTTTTTTGAAAGGTATTGGATTGGCCAACAAAAAATTCCCCCCTAAACGATGAAGCAGGTGGCATGGGATGATGATTTGCTTGAAGAATACAAGAAATCGTTTGCTGATAGCAAATCTGATGATGAATTGAGTGATTGGTCGGAAGAGAACGACTCTGCCGAAGAAAGAGAATCAACGGAAATACAATTTAAAAATCAAAACGCCAAACAGAAATTCCCATTTCGGAACATTGAAGATCAATTCATATCTGGATCATCAACCAATATTTCGGGTTTTTTTGGAACAATAGACGAAGGAGAAACATTACATGATCATAATATTGATGACACAAAATATTATAGCTCGCTTTTTGGTGATGAAAATGATCACCATGACACAGAATGTATCAATAACGTTCAATCAATACCCCTTGCCAAAAAAGAATTGTTTTATTCTCTCAATTTTGATCCTAACAAGTTAATAACTGTTCATGTCCCTTTTACTCACTTCCCACATCAGCAACTATTTGAACACTACACAATATACAAAATATCACAAACACCTCCTCTTGGAAATTATAGAGTCGTGACTCCTTGCAACCACATGGTAAAACAACATGATTTAATCAGAGAGATATTTTCAATGCTCAGGGGTCATGAAGGGTCTATATTCAAAATCAACAATCATGGATCTTTTGAACTATCCATCCAATATTTCCGTTTCTTTTATATCACGTACTTTACTTCATACAGTTTTAAAATTTTTCATACAAATTTCCAATGATTTAGAATCCATTAATGTCAAGTGTATTCGAAATATACACTCGGTAAAAAGTATAATACTTCAATCATATTACTCAACTCTACTGGAAGTTATTTTAGAAATCAGAAGCGAACTTTCAGAGATGGAGCGACAAAATCAATTAGGAAATATGAAGGACAACTTGCAATCATTGACATTGCTAAGTTTACGCACGCTTTTGTTTAGAACTGAACAAAAAGTTTACATACTTAAAAAATTAGACCATCAAATTGATTATATCATTGACAATGTAATGTCTCAAAGAGATGCAATATCAGATATTATTTCCTCCTTCTACGAAAAAATCACACATCTACAGTACATGCATACCAACACCAATGACGAATATGATTTGGTTTATCGACTACTGATGTCCATGCTTAAATCTTACCTGGGAATAATGGATTCTTGGATATTCGAAGGAATCATTCAAGACAAATTCCAAGAATTTATGCTCTCGAAAAACGACAATTTGAATGTCGAAACACCTTTATTTTGGACTGAAGGATTTATTCAATCCAAAATTCCAAGCATTTTTTCCAACACCAAGGATAAAATTATTAGTATTGGAAAATCCATTATCTTGATGAAAGACATTGAAACCAAGCACGAAATTACTTTGGACACAAGCTCCATAGGTGACTACATGTTGGATAAAGAAAAACCTTCTCTCTATAGACTATTAGAAACAGCCTTGGATTTGGATTCTAGAAATGGTGATGTAAACCATGAAAATTTTCATGCATGTGAGACTTTTAAAACGGAAACATCTCCAAAAGCACTGACACTGTTACGATCAATCCATAAACCAAGAAAAGATAACACCAACGAAAATTCTAACACTGTAGAGCCATCATCTCCAATTTCTATTTGTTCTGAATCTATTCCAATTGGTTCTATCCATTTTATGAGATCACCTCCAAAAAAAAAACGAATGTTATCCCTCTTAGAAACTGAAGACTTGTACAGCAATACTATTTCAGATCCAACCGATAACAAGGACAAATCATTCTTCTCACTCGCCACAGACCCCTTTAGGTCAGACGATCAAACAAGCAATATTTTCAATTTGCTGAAGAAAAAGAGTTTATCAGAAGTGATTGACTTTCAGTGCGTGTCAGACAATCATTACATGTCTTCAAGCAAGATACTTGAACAGCCTATTGAAATTAATTTTGAGTTAGGTCTTTTTAAGAATATTAAGGAACAATATTCACGCATAGCTCCCTACTTGTGCAATTTGATAGTTTATAGATCGAAGCTCATTGACCATCTCACAGCTATTCGAGCTATTTTCTAATGGAAGCAGGTGACATTATGGACTACTTTTCAACACAGTTGTTTCATCTTTCTGATCGATTCATTGCATTCGATTTCGCGGTATTACCACATTTGACATCCAAATGATATTGAGAGATACTTTGCGTCTTGGAGTAGAATATCCAAGACGATACTCTTTTGCAACTAACAATTCTACCTCTTTTTATACTACCGACGTATTTTCATCTCTTACTTTAGAAGATAAAATATCTGTGATCTTCGATGACACCAAGATCAAGATCGAAGATGGAAACTTTTTGATGGGCTAGTATTTAACTTTGAATTAGAGTGGCCTCTCAACGTTATTATCTCTACAGAACATGTTCAGCACTACAATGAAGTGTTGATTTTTAATCTTAAACTTAAACAAGCAAAACAAGGTATGTTAATGGTTAAAAATATTTAGTCAACTAACGATTTTCAAAGTATTGGAAATCATGAGCTTGAAAACCGACGCCTTTGTGCATAGAGGAAATGCCTATCTCAAATTTTATAGCCTCTTAAACCAGTTGAAACATTTCATAAGCGCTGTTCAGTATTATATGATGAATAGATATTACATACTTTGTGGAATGAATTATGTGACAATGTTCTATCGTCACAAGATCTTGATGATTTACGAAATTATCACCAGGACTATATGAATAAGATTAAGGATCGATTTCTCCTCAAAAAAGCACAATTTGTGAAAAATCACATTTTCAAAGTTGTGCAAATTTGCATAACACTTCGCACAAAATTGAATAACTTTAAGGAAACACAAAGAGAAGATATATTTTTATCAGAGTTACTTGAAATGGAGGACGAGTTCAAGAAAAGTTTCAAAATGTTGCTTACCATCATTAACAGCATCCTTTCTAGGGGCATTCATGAACACTGTAAGTTGTCGAAATGAAGCACAATTTTGTATTTTGTTTAACAAATGGCTTGCATTGTAGTGGATGATTTGAGAACGAGACTTAACTTTAATAATTATTACCATTAATAATTAACAAAAGGATCAAAAACATCAGAGACTAAATAAAATCGAATACCCTCCTCATTTTCGTCACGACATAGTTTCTTGGCAGCCTCTGCTGACAACAGTAATTCTTTTGCCAATATTGCGCTTATATTCAGCAATCTTGCCAACGTCACAGCAGTAATATAGCAATAGGACATGGCATCCTTTTCTCTTCCCTCTCGAATAAATGATTCTATTTTGTTGGCCATTAAAGTGTCCGAGTATCGAGAGGATTGAATGACTACAACGCCGCTTTCAAAAGTCCTTAACTTCATTGGTAGTTTTAGCTTTTCAAATAAAGAACATGCAATTTGCATGTCTTCAGGAGAAATTAAAGCAGTTCCTCTGGCTCTGTTGTATAAACAAAAGGCATCTGTTAATGTGATCACTCCTCCATATCTCTCTTGGACAATGTTGTCGAGAAAATCTACTAGTTGTCTTGCTAGTTGTTGATGGTATTGAGCTCCACTGGATTGTTTTGTGACTGGGGAAGACAGACCCAAGTTCAGTAAGAAATCTAACATTTGATTTTCCTCTTCATTTTCTTCTGCCGTATTGTTATGTGTTACGCTCTTATTTCGTTGTACAATCTTGTTTTTAAATGATTCCGCTAAATTAACCATATCTTCTGCTTTTTCCATGAGCTTTTTCAGATCTGAAAAGGCTTCATCCAACTCCTTTCTTTCTTCTAAATTCTCCTCGTCAATTCTTTTCATGATACCTGCAATACCTGCAGTGCTTGTTTGAAAATTCTTTGGTTTTTTGCTCATACTTTCTAATGAGTCCGTAGATGCTGACACCATCGATCCAAGCGAAGACGACGTTATTGTTGGTGTCGTAAACAATGGAGTTGAGCTTACTGTTGGTAAACTTTCTAACCATTTCTTTTTCTTTAATTGCTCGTTAATACATTCCACAAACTCGTCTCGCTTCCCCTTTCTAAATGAAATTACTATTTCGCCGGTGACATCTTTGGACTTGATTAGAATTTTGGTTTTTGGTGATCGGAATAATCCTCCACCTTCTTTTTCAACTCTTTCCACGATTGATAATGAGCATGAAAGCCCGTAATCATAAGAAACTCCATTATTGCCAGATGATTCCGCATGACTCAAAAAATATATTCTATGTGTCGATAAATATACATGATTAAAATCTTTCATTTCCTTTCCGTTATTATCGATCAGAGCAATTCCAACAACAATCATATTTTCAATTTCCTTCAGTTCGGAAGCATACATGGGTCTTCCTGCTGTTGTTAATCTACATTTTTCAAATCCCTTGAGGGCAAATAAATTACCGACAGGTTCAAATGTACTACTACTCAATGAAGCCTCTGTGGTTGTTGTGAAGGAAGAAGATAAAGCTTGATGTTGTGGTGATAACATTTTTTTCATTCAACTAACTCTGACCAACCCTTTGTTCTTCTCGTGGTCTTAAATTACTTCAGCTGGCTTCAACAGAATGATGACCCAACCTTTCAAAGGGACCACTCCAGTCCATGGTTGCAAACTCGGCTCTTGCGAAACTGTTCATCATTAGCAAAGCTCACATCCTCACAAAAAATGAAGAGAGAGATTTTTTCAAGTCTGCATCATGATTCTCTCTGCTCATCAAAACGTGCGCTGCAGCAGCTCTTCTCAGACACACAGCACAAGTGTCAACACACACAACAACCATGGATGGTCCATAACAACAAGATCTTGAATCATCATCATGATCGTTTGAACGGTAAGATGAAACTTGGAGTATCATCTTTATCGGGGCGGTCTTTATCCGAAACCAACTGCCATCCAAGCTGTTCCAATAATAATATATAAGAGCATCTTCATCATCTACAATAACATCATCAGGATCTCATGTTATGGAACTCCTTTTAACGAACATGCGGGTGGTGATGATCATCCTAATAATGATTTTATTTATTTACTGCACGGATTTCATGAGTGCCACAAACCATAT